GTACGAATTTTTAATTACTAAATTCGGTATAGTAAGGGTTTTTTTATATTTAAAAATCTGTCTGACAATGAAAATCTGTTGTATTGTAAAATTTGTTATATCAAAATTCATTGTAAAAAGAGTTGACTGTATTCAAGCAATAAAAAATCGTGTAATGGAGCAAAAGGAAGACTACTACCGAAAAAGATACAGCCTTTACTTTAGCTATATGTGAAGTTATTTTAAATCTGAAACATCCAAAAATATCGATTGGTGATATTGCTTTACGAAGAAGATATGATACTTATTTGGTAATGTAATTGTTAGTTATGTAATTTATTGATTTTCAACTGGTTAACAGCAATCTTTTTTTTAGGATTATCTTTCTAATTTAAAAGACATATCTGTAAATACTACCAAATTCATTAGAATTGAAGAACTTGGTAATGAATCAGATATTGAAAGCAAAACTGAAAATGAAAGTGATACAGGTAATAATCATAGAGATTTCGTAGGTGATGAAAATGAAAGTGATATGGGTAATAATTATGGAGATTTCACAGGTGATGATCGTAAATATTTCATGGGTAATGATCATGAAGATTTCTCGAGTAGTGACGCATAAAATTCATGGGCTAGGGAATAATCATGAGTACGAAGTCTGTAGTTTATACAACAAGAATTGCTTATATGGTAATAATGTACAATGCGTAATCATAATACAAAAAAAAATATAACGTTAATTTAAATTATAAATTATACAATAAACAATATAATGAATTTATAATAAATATAAAGTTTTTTTATTATTATATCCTGTGGGATTCCTTAATAATAAATTCATAATCCTTGGAGATTTTATAAAAATCTGTTTTTAAGGAACCCCTGGAGGTGGAGAAGGTTCTCTGAGGATTCTCACTATGTTAAGGAATTTTAGGATTCTCTGAAGATCCCGATCTTGAAAAACTTACTGATGATAGCAAATTCTTTAAATGCTATTGGTAATATATCAGGTTCAATAAGATTTAACATATATTCTCGTAAATGATTTTCATAAGTTGGTGAAATATAATCTATATCATTAAGATCATCACCACTGCCAATAAATTCAGTAGTAATTGAATCAATTGTTGCATTTAATTGTATATGCACATCAGATAGTGCAACATAATCTGATTGAAATATTTTTGTTAAATTGCTAAAAGTAAACAAAATATCTGCAAGAAATTTTATTGCTAATATAAATTCTAAATCAATATCTTCACGTAATCTTTGAGCCTGTTATCGTGTTTTATTGCATGTATTATTAATTGCATCATCATCGAGTGCATCAATTATTGAAAAGATAATTTGATGTAAATTTGAAACAGCATTAGAAAGTGAAAGTCATTGAGTATTAACAATACGTAGAACTGATAATTGTGGATCTTTTTGATCTAAAGATTGAAACATCTTTAAATGTTGCCACCGTTGATGTGATGAACCAAAATAAGCATATATTTCTTTTAATATTACTTCATAATCTTCAAAATACAAAATATCTTTAGCTGCATCCTTTCCAGCTAAATTTAATCTATGCGCAATACAATGACAGTTAGTTATAAATAGATTTACTTTTTGAAGTTTTGCTGATACTCCATTTTTATTACCTATAATATATAAATAAAGTTAAATAAATTAGCGTATATTATTAATGATTAAAATTACATTTGAAATACAATAATATATACCTAACATTACACTAGCACCATCGCTACCAAAATGCATTAAATCATCTGTATTTAGCATTTTTGCGACAAAAAAATTCTCTAAATTTTTCATAATAGCATTGACATCTGTATTTAATAACTCAATTAATCCTAAATAACGAAGTATAGAAATATTTCCCGCCATGTGTTTGCTAACCATTGCACATGTTTTATCATGTGTAATAGTATTACTTTCATCAATTAATAAACTCCAAGATGGTGATTTATGAACCTCATTTAAAACTGATTCTTCAATTACTGTTGCAATAGCATATAAAAATTCCGCACCCACCATTGGATTTTTATATGTACTATAATTTGTTTGATTGCTTGGATTATCAGATATAATCAAATCTTTTTTGGACTAAAAGATAGTGGTAAAAGTGTAATTGGAGGTTGATCAAATACTAATTCGGTCTTATTTTTTTTTGAAGATTTACTAATTCAACTAAATTAGAAAATGCATCAATTGCAAGATGCTTTTTTGCACAGAGATAGACACACTGCATCTTTGCTATAACATCCAACTTATCAACACCTGCTTGAATTGTAAATCCAATTACAAGATCTGTTTGATCTGATGGTCGATCGGTATATCCAAGTGCTGCTTTCTGATGTTCTTTAGTAGTTAAATGCATGTCTAAATAATTTTTTTTGAAATTTTTTGTTCCAACAATAAATACATCTTTAGAATTTTTATTATGATTTGTACACCAAATACAATACATTTTCAGTTCATTATTAGAATTAATACATCAAGCAATCCATGGATATGCTTGTGACCAATTTGGATTCCAGTCTAGTCATGTATGTGGCTTATTTTTTTCAGTTGTTTTTTCTTTATATACTTTTTTAGTAGAACTTTTTTTATTCTGTTGTAAAGTTTCTTTTCGTTTCTGTACAGAAGGTAATACAGAAGATGAACCACTTGCTGAAGTTAGGTACTTGTCCATTAAAGTTTTGAAAACAAAGAAAAGAAAAAAAAACAAAGAAAAAAAACATGATAAAAAACTAAATAAAAATAATTAATTAGTATATTTGGTTGTACAAAATAAACTCACATGTACATTAAAAATCTAACTTGCAGAACTTGCGCATATCCAATTTAACATGCGGAAACTTGCGAAAATTTCTAAAATCTGTCTGCGGAATCCGCATGTACATATTTAATTTTACTAGCAGAAAAAAAAGTCACATGCGGTCCGCAAGTTCTGCAAGTCAATTTTAGACACTGGATACTACCACTGACCTAATACTTTACTGGCAAATTTTAGCAATCATGTTTTTTTATTTTAAACTTTGCTAGTTTCTCTGTTATTTTATAATAGTTTTTTGCATATACACCATGTTTCTTGCACAAAAAAATGCTGAATCTCGCTCACTTGTTTGTTTTAAACTACTTGAATTAATTTTTAATAATCTCAAGATTAAAGATATACTATACTCCTGTCTTACTGTGAATCATCAATGGAATTTTGAAGCATTTCGAGTTATTTTAAAGCAAAAAGAAAGGGAACTTTATAAAGATCTTAATTTTATAAAATATCAGTTAGACTAGAGTAAACAAGAAATAACCTGTATTTATATAGTTCTTTATACTCTGTATTATGATTGGATTACAGCAGGAGAAGAAATTGCAAATGTTCATGCAGTAATCAAATCCCATATAAATAATCTTACAAGAATTCTCTCCTGTCTTATTAAGTCTTCTGTTTTACGAAATAAATTTCATATACAATGGCAAAATCTTTATAAACAGACGAAAAAAATTGTTAAAAGATATCAATCTACTTGATGATATCAATAATACATAAAAAAAGCGAATATATAGATAAAATTGTTGAGCTGTATTATCAAGTACCCTTAGCCGAAATTGCCACTTTCCGCTAAGAATACTGATAATACTTATTTTTTACTTATGCAATAGTAGTGACCAAGTTTAATTTTACTTTCCTAGATTTGCATATATCTAGATTGATTCTTTCGATCAAATTAGTCTGGAGCTGGTGATCATTACCCCAAATTTCTGTATGTGATATTATATTACGCCTATAAAATGCAAAATGAAATTGACACTAAAGCTCTGGTATATGCCCAGAGACGTGAAGGAAGATGCTTAGGCAAAGTTAGTCCTAATACATATTTATGGTCGTGTAAAAAGGGTCATCAGTGGGAGACGCCATATAAAAAAATGAAACAGAATTACAGATGATGTAATATTTGCCCCAATGTATCAGAAAGAACATGCCGGTATATATTCGAAGATTTATTACATAAAAAATTTCTACTCTGAAAACCTAAATTCTTGGAGGGGTTACACCTAGATGGATACAATGAAGAGCTAGGTTTGGCTTTCAAATATAGTGGTAACCAACATTATCAAATTGTGCTTTTTTTTCATCCGCAAGGACAGATGAATCTAGATGCACAAATCTGGCGTGATTGGAAAAAGAGAGCGTTATGCTATCGAGAAGGAGTAATTCTTATTACAATTCCCATTGCACTGTTGACTTAAAAACTTTTATAAGGAGCGCCTTGTACACATTCGGTTATCTCCCAATACCCACCTAGGAGGTAACATGGGCTCTTCCTTAATATGCATTAATTGTTTTCTTACAAAGGGACGCTGAGGTCCTGATTCGTCTAAATAATACAAAACAAGCATCGGAGGATTCTTTCCAACAACAATTCTCTGGATCTTATGTAGGCTAGGAGACCATATCGGATCTGTTATTCTGCGTCTTTCGAATAGATCATTTTTCCATTCTCTAGGAGCAAGCAAGAATCGGACAATAGTACTCTTTGGTAGTTGTGGTTCATCAATACCTATTAGACGATTATATTTTACCGATGGTTTGGAATATATCCGCTCAAGTTTTGTGGCGTCATTAGGACTCATCCCAATCAATCGAGTTGGGCTATCATTCATATTATCAACAATTTTTCT